GAGCCCAGAAACTTGCATACACCACTTTTCACACCAAGGTTGTGATTTATAAAATCCAAACTTGACCTGAAAATGTGCGGTCCCTCACGCCAGCTTTGACCCATGCGTACACTCATTTTGGAGACGTGAAACTGTGACACAGATGGTGAAGTGAGGAATTAGAGCCACACTGTGTAATGATCACTGTCAGATATTTAATTTACCTTCATCAGACTTAGATTTTTATTCAACTTTATCATCAGCTTTCTTAACAGTAACATTTATGCTTCTGCTGCTGAGCCAGAAGGACCTTTGAAATGAAAAAAACTTAAATCTTAAAAAAGTTCCCGTGCGCAACTCCATTCATCTGCTTCCTCCTCAGACGACCCTGACCCACAGACCCCTCCCTGACCCACAGACTCCTCCCTGACCCACAGACCCCTCCCCGACAAGAACAGCAGGACAGCAAAAGTCACGCTTTGGATACACGCGCAGGGCGCATCCACCTCGCCAGTGTGGATGTTATAAAACTTCACATTTAAAATCCGTATTTGTCGTGCGCGCTTGCTTGCTTGCTTGCGTGCGTGCGTGAGTGTGAGTGTGTGTGTACGCAGGGGGGGGGGTCTGCCACAGATAACAGAGCAGGCAGGAGTGGGTGAGGACGAGGAGAAGAGCGGTGGACTTATTTCTAATTTTATCTGACTTATTTAATTTAATTTTTATTGTTTTTATCGTCCTGCAGGCTCTGTGAGAAAATTAATTTGAAGTCGAGTTTTTCTAAATAAAAATCGTTAGATTACTCTAAAGCAAAATGAGGGAAAATCTGTGTCAATTACAAACATTCTGTTCACGTGAGCAGCTGTCAGCACCTGTCAACCTCCAGACTCACGACGGAGCGTGTCTGAACCAATCACTTTTGTTGACACTGATCAGCTGATTGATTTAAATACATCTTAACATTCATGAGGTGCTTTACACTGACTGTTTATGGTTGAATGTGGGCGTGTAGAGGGTAGAACCTGAGGCGGGACCTTGTGCGCAAACTCTGACGTGTGGCTGTGATTTATAAAGGAAAGRTGCGCAGAAACATGCGTACGCACGGTTTTATAAATCTGAATTATTTTTTGGCGTAAGCCATTTCCGCCTTTTGGCCGTACGTTCACTTTTAGTATGGTTTCCACGCAATCCTTTATAAATCTGACCCCAGGATTGGACACCCCTTGGTTTAATTTGCTGAGGTTTGCGGACAATCCACACTAAAGCCTTTAAATTCCTGTGCAGTGCAGACTTTGATTGTACTACAGTAATACATTTCAATTTTACTGTTTCAGTTCTCTTGTAGAGTTACTGCTGTGCTTTGGTTTATTAGCCTGTTGTTGGTCTTAATCTGGTTCAATGGGAGACATCTGACCTTATTGAGAAATGCAAATGATACAAAAGTCATATGTCTTCCATTAATAACCTGTCACTGGGAGACACCTTTATGTACCATAGTTTTCTACTTTGGTAAACAGATTATCACTGTGTTTTGATGATTTAAAGCCCAGATCATCATCCCTCCTCCACTGTGCTTGACAGATGCCAGAGGTTTTTCTACATTGCCGTGTGTGGTCTTTACCAAAGATGGTGCTGTGTGATCTCCAAACATGTATACTTAAGTGTTGAAAGGACTTTGTGCCAGATGTCTTGTATTTTATTCAGTTTGGTTGCCAGCTTTGCAAAAAAGTCATACAACATTCATTCATTTAATTTTTTTTGTTTAAGAATGTTTTTAGAGTTGTTTTTGAGATTCCCACACACCACAGGGTTTATTCCTCAGATTAACAACTGACTTGAATGATTTTAACTCACTTCTCAGGTTGATGAGTAGCAACAGTTACTTTTACAGTCATAAGAATGGACCTAAAACTTCATACATAGCTTACACAACTGGATAAAGAGAGACAAATTAATTGGCAGATATTGGCCAGCTTTCAAAAATTATCTGTCAGCCTTGCCTGGAGGTCACTTAATCAATCACAAGGTAAGAAAATTAAGATTCAACCAGCTCACAGTGTACACAGTTTAGTTTTCTCAATTTGTATTAAGTGCACAAGATCTTTTAAGGGTCTTTAAATATGTGTTTAAGTTAAGCAAATATTGCCATATTGTATTTTGTTAAATGAAAAATACATACTGATTTAAAAAAAATCAAAAATATGTGTTGTAAATCGACAATTGGCTGACCTGATTTGTAAATATCAGCAATGACTGGTGAAAAACTTATAGGTTGACGTTTAATTACAATATCAGTTTTTATTAAATACATTAAGGTGTAATACATAATGTTGATACTCAGTTTGACTTTTTATTATTCACATTATTCACTGGTATAAAACCATCAAAGTTGAATGGGCACGTGTTAGTCACCTTGACAGTATTTGTCAAATTAGCAGCTAATTAATTTTTATTTAATATGATTGTGTTTGCTTTACAGGGATTTCTTTTTGTCTGTTTTGTTTTCATCATTTTTTATTTTTTCCCTCTTATTTGTATTTTTCTCTTACATTTTCCTGAACCCTAGTAGACAACATCATGCTCTGATAAGCAGTCCAAACTGCTCAGATCACACACACACAAAATCAGCTTTGTGTTTTCAAGCAATTTTTGCTTAAAGCTTTGTTGATTCTCTCACAACCTCGCACCTGTCCTGTGTTTTCTCTTTGCATTCTTTTTTTTATAATCATCCTTTTTGTCCATTTCTCTTTGACACCTCCCAGCCTGCTGTAGTCTTCCAATGTTTGAGTCTCTCTGATGAGGAAAGACAAACGCTGCAGAGAAAATAAACCCGGATCCTCAGCCCGTTTACAGCACAGAGGCCCAGGAATTAAACTGTATACTTTACAACTTGGCTTGTGGAGGTGTGGGAAAATGTTTCCCTCTCAGAATGTGTGTGATTGTTTGGGGCCCTGATCGGGCAGCTTATGAACACGACAGATCCCACATTTATCAAATCCTCACTGCCAAAAGTTCAAGAAACTTTTGCCTAAAAATGAACCTAAATTTGCTGCAAGTCAGTCAATAATTTGTATTGCAGGTACCCCACCTTCTGTTTCCTCTACAGCAGTAGATGGACATTTAATACTGATTCTCACACGTTTCCAGAATATACTTTTTTGAAACTTATTCGTTATTTTCTTTAAATTGGTTCAAGTGTCACAAGTTAAGCATCAATAAAACCGTTTTTGTGGTTGTGCTTTCAGAGATGCCTGTATGACTCTTAGATGTCCATCATTCCTCTTCCCTCTGACCCTCATAAAATCAGTTTGTATTAAAGAGTTTCAGATTGACAGCAGCTGTTCTTGGTGGGAAACCGGAGCTGTCAGGTGTCCGATGCTCAAGTGTCAGCACGCGGCGGCGCGCTGTGGCCTGAACTTCCCACAGAGCCAGCGGCTGGCTCCTGTTTCCACGCATGACATTACAGAGACTAATCCTAATGACTGACCAGAACTGTAAACTAAACAGTCCTAACCACACACACACACACACAGCCACACAAATACATTTTTGTTTTGACTCCATTTCAGCAATGATTAGTCCCGAAATGACAGTTGACAGTAAAACCTCTCATTGAGACTGAATGAACTCCATCATTGCTGGGCTCATATTACTCTGACAGTCACTGTTGCTGTGTTGGAAACCCATAACAGTGACTGAAATGCAAAAAAAGCTAAACAAATATTTGTTTTGTAATGTATATACACAGCAAAGATGATTAGTTTTTGCCTTATTTTTCCACAAACTCATTTCACTGAATTCAAGTCTTTGTTTTTGGTCCATTCTTTTACTTCTCCTGAACTGAAATGCTCGTAGACTGAGCACATGCTTTCCATCAGTCTCTAGTGGTCCCCAATCTATTTTTGAATCAGCTTAATCCTTAATTTATTTATATTATTGTCATCCGCTGTTATTGTGCTCTGCTTTCAGCCACCCTCAAGTGTGTGATTAAATTAAATTTGCAAATTAGTGTGGAGCCCTCCTCCCTCCCCCAGCTGTGGAAAGGGGACATAGTTTCCTCATCTGGATGCTCTTTAGGACACTGTAATCAGCCCGAGCAGCTGTGAGGTTTCTAATTGAGATGGTTGATAACCTCCTCAACAACCACAGCCAGGCTCAATAAGCATGACACAATCTGTCATTACCACACTGCCATGGGAGAAGCTGTGGAAAAAGTGAAACCCTGCAGTGCCAAAGCTGCAAACAGTCTTAGTGTTTGTTTGCAGCCCCCTTTACTTTCCCAGTTGGCCACATACATGCATGTTTGAAAAGCAGATGTACAAGCGAGAGAGCAAAAGAGATAAAAAAATGTCCCCAGTGCTGTCAAAGCCCTGCCAAACAAACCCTCAGCAATGAGTTTAGAGCTCACAGAAGGCAGTTTGTTTCACCACATCCTGCTTGCACCCCCCCCCCCCCCCCCCCCCACACACACACACACACACAAACACACACACATCTGCCCCCACTCTGGTCTTCACTTCCCATTCTCTCCCAGGATCCAAGATGTGTCTGTCCTGCCGCACTTGAGTGAAAGGCCATGTGGGTTCTGGTGGCTCAGACTGGGGTTAACACCAATGACAGCTTTGCACCGTGCCCCCACCCCACCCCACAGCCACCTTCACCCCCTGCGTCGCTCCGCTCTGCGTGGAGCTCTGCTCACCAGACACTGATGTCATCTGTGCACTGAAAGCCTCAGTTGTTGGTTGTTGCTTTGTTATGGCTACACACACAGCGACAACGCACGTTCACCAAACACATGGTTGGACACCCTCGCTTAGCTAGTCAGCTGCAACGCAAACGTCACAATTTTTTAATCTTTTGTTTTTTCGAGTGTTCCATCACGTTTATATTTGTCCTTCTCAATAATTCATGTTTTCTCTGCTCTTCATGGTTGCTTTACTGAAGTAATTATACAGTCTTCAGATTCTTGTGCCTTGTTACCATTTTACCTCACTCCTTAAACAGATCTCATTTTAATATTTTAGGGGGATTCAGTGCCTGCTGGAGATGATGGTCCATTCACCGACACAGTGACTTTAGAGCAAAAAACTAGCAGCATTGAGGGAACCAGTGGGAAGGTTAGCGTCTGGATGCAGTGGATGTTACCAAAGGTCACCTTTCAACTGTTTGCTCCTGATCTAACTGCAAGAAAGGCAGGTAGGTATCATTCCTGTTCTTCCATCATGCTCAAGGAACATACATCATTTATACTTTTAAACTGTGTCAGAGTCTTGGCTCATGCCACTACGGTAATATTCATTTCCATGGCTGAAGTTGAGAAGCGTACAGTTTATAAAATAATGTAAATCAAAAGAAAAATGGAAAGCATGCAGACAAAAATTGCCTAACAATGATGACTTTAGGTGAGGTTCCCTCAAACACAATATTGATGAGGGACTGATAGAACATAACGACCACCAAAGAAGAACATAGTGGTAGTCCAGATGTGAGCACAAAAATTGAAGCTCACAATCTATCTATTCACAATCTAGCTTTTCTTACAGATTTTTTTTTGTCAAAAAGTCTAAAATTCAGTCAGAAGAGCAGCTCATCAAAGGGGACAACTTTAAAAATGCACTTTTTTAGCCAATACATTTTGTTGTGTACTTGGAGTCTGTAGGAGGCAGAAAAGTTTAATTTAGTTTCTCCTGGTGCTGCGAAGGTATCTTTATATTCTGTTTGGGTCATATTTTTGAACTAATACATTTTTCTTTATTTTCCTACATTTTCTGAACTATTACATCAAATTATTTGCAACTAAACATCTAAATAAGGTCTGGAATTGCCAACTACAGTTTGGTGGTCTTCATTCTCCTCTGGCTTTGGGTCCGACTCTGGCTCCAACATGTGAGGCTGGATGGACAGGTCTTCATTTTTATAGTTGTAAACACTTCTATCAAACTAGAATGGACCGCTCTGGAAGCTGGAGGAGAGCGGGGTGTGAAGTACCTCATTTGGATTTAAAGAGACAGCCTCAAAACACGTTGATCTGAGACACAAATCAGAAAAGGGATGAAAGAGGGGCTTGTGGAGTTACAATAAGGAGGAATTCAGACCATAGCGTTGCAGTGCCACTTTACAAAGACCCCAACTGAAGGATTTAAATGTGTAAATGTTTTTTTTTATCGCGGCCCAGCAGAGTGGGGGTCACCTGAGCTACCCACTGTCCTTTTGTAGTTCTAACCAGTCAAGTTTACAGGTGGTTGTTAGAAGTGCATGAAGCTACCAGCGGAGGCCTGTTGTTCACAGTACTTATCTGCTCTAGTGAAAAGGTCAAATGTGATTTATTTGAGTTAGGATGTTTGAGATTTATAGGTTTTTCTAGCACCACAACATGTTAGATGCTCTGTAGTTTCAGTTTCTGTGCATTTTCCATTTTTAGTAGTTTCATTATAATGCCTAAATATGTTAAATTTACAATTTATATGATTTTGCTGACAACAGTTGCAGCAGGATTTTTTTTTCTTAAGGATGGCCTCCCTTCTCCCCTTATAGCCATCCCCTCCACACCGTTATGTTTTTTTTGTGAAGAGAAAATAGAGAGGGAGAAAAACAGAGAGAGAAGTAATTAGAAAGATAGAAAGACTGAAATAGGGATTAGGATTATATTAAATATACACCAACAAAACACAGGACCACACACCCAACATCTGTCTGCTCACCTGAAAAATAAATGGATAAATACATAGAAGGCATATATAAAAATACACACATACCCATACATATATAAAGATATACATACATACATGCCTACATTCATAAATATTGTCAGTATATACACACATAGGCATATATACACACTCAGTGACCTGTCAGAACCCCCGGATCAGAACACCCGTTTGTGAGCAGTTGTGAACATGTGTGTATATACTGACAATATTTATGTATGTATGTATATCTTTATATATGTATGGGTATGTGTGTATTTTTATATATGCCTTCTATGTATTTATCCATTTATTTTTCAGGTGAGCAGACAGATGTTGGGTGTGTGGTCCTGTGTTTTGTTGGCGTATATTTAATATAATCCTAATC